ATAGATGGATGGATGGATGGATAGATAGATAGATAGATAGATAGATAGATAGATAGATAAACATACTGGTATCGGATCGGTACTCGGTATCGGCCAATACCCACAGCACAAGTATTGGAATCGGTATCGGGAGGGAAAAAATAGTATCTGAACATCTCTACTCATTCTGAATTTCACCTGACTGCAAACAGTATATTGGAGCGCTGAGCAAATGGTGAGTTTCACCTGCAGCTGATAAAGAGGATTCACATCTAAAATGCCAGGAGAAAACAAAAGCACCGCATTTAATATAGCTATACTATATAAGAATCCATCTTTACATAGTTATCAAGTGTGTGTGTGTGTGATATATAAATTGTTTTGATACATATTTAGAATATAGTGATAACTTACATTTACGAAATTACAAAAAAATTCACCACATAAATTATATGAGTCTGAACAAACATTGATGTAAACTGCTATTTGACTGGCTGGCTAGGCATACAACCATGAGGCAGTAATTCTAAATTTAAAACTTATTTTTCATCTATTCACATCAGACCTGAGCTCAGAGCTGGTGGGTCGCCTGCAGGTCCGAGACCAGCTGAGAACGAAGCAGGACGCGATGCTGCTGGAGGTCCAGGATCTGACCTCACTGTGAACCTGCCCATCACTCTCAGCCGAGGTTCACCTGTCGGAGCAGCCAGGAGGGGGTTATGTCATACAAACATTTTAACGTTTTTTTTTTTTAACCAAACAGTGCCACAGTGGCCTCAGCAAACATCTCAGTCAGTCCCTCCTGCTGTCAGTATGTTCCAGCCAATCACTGTGAAGAGTGTCGCTCCCTAAAAGGACTTGGACACTCAGTTGCAGAGGATTTTTATTTTTATTTTAGTTGTTATCTGTGTTGTGTATTTATAAGGAAACTTTGTCTTGGTAAAGGACATCATCAGTGCTTTTAACCTCGCATGTCACGTGAGGACAATATTAAGTCTTTTAAAGGGCCAAAGTGTACAGACTGAGATGCCCATCTGTAAATTAAGGGTTATTTTTTGTCAACCCTGCAATGCTCATGTTGCCACACATGTTTTGTTTAGCATCTCTTCAATGTAAAAGGGACCCTGTTAGGAAGCTGCTAATTCTGCCAATGGGACAATCTGTCTTTTTTCTACTGTTTAGTATAGTCATGTTCTCTGATCTTTGTGCTTTTTTTTTTTTTTTTTGTAAGGGAAAATATTTTTTATCTTTAGATTCAATCAATTTGATTTTTTTTTAGTCTTGGCACACGTTTTTGATATTGTTCATTTAACAAACTACAAAAAGAATGTTTATCTTTTTATCTTCATAAATTTCCACAGCACACTTCCATTTTGGATTCTTGCAAATGCCATTAGGAGCACTAAATGGAGCCAGAGGAACCTGTCTCATGTAATTAGCAAATATGACAAAAAAATAAGAATAATACCTACTGCACCTTTTAAAAAAAATTCTATTCTTCTTTTTCAGTTTGCTGTCAGTAAAACACACTTTCTGCGTTTCATAATAAAAGCCTTTCGAAAGCTCACTCCTATTAAGCTGTTGGTGTAAGACATCTTTGGGTGTGTTTCATTCACAGCAGCTTAAAAAATGGAAAAGTAGAAGCTATTGACGCTAAATTTACCTGGCATTTATTAGAGACAGCCAATTCCCTGCACACCAGCTTTAGAATTTGCAGCACACAAAGGTACCAATGTTGTGGACCAAGTGGCATGAATTTCAAGTCAAGTCTTTTCTAAGGGTCTTAATGCAAGTGGGTCGGGCTCTAATAGCAGTGAGTGGACATTAAAGTACACTCCACGTTCGTGTTCTTGAGACAGATATCTGTCCTAATTCCTGTCTCATTAGTGGTGAGTGTTGACATTGTTCTAATTGAACCAGTCTTTACCTAACCAAAAGATGTACTCTTTAATGTTGTTATTGCTAGGGTTGAGCAAGTAGCCGGTACAGAGATCATACTTTTTACAAGTATCAAGAGTAAAATGTGTCAATATGCGTACTTATAAATGTAGCAACTTTTATTAAAAAAACGTATTCTGTAAATAGTTCTCTTAATCTAAAACATTCCTCTGTAGTTCAGTTCTGTAAATAGTTTCCTAATAAATATAATGATTGGTTGCTTTTGTTCATTGGATTCTTGCAAACGCCATTAGCAACCCAGTCTCATAAAAACGTACCCTGGCTACGTTGGTCCAAAGTGCAAAACGTAGAGGGGAGCAATTGGATGGGGCCCTTAATATGTAGACTTACATTTTTTTCTGGGGGCCCTGATTTTTTTCATATTGGGTTTTGTCACGTGACTTTTCCAAGATCCCGGACCAAAAAACTTATGGCGGACATTTTTCTCTCATTTTTTAGGGGGGTGAAAAGAAAAAATTCAATATTTTGAGTTAGTTTCTGCATCAAAATGCGTTTCGATTACATTTCTAGCGAGAAATATATATTTAATTTTTTTAACAATAACCTTAAATGTATTGTATTAGCAACAGTGAATGATCAGAAGTTTTAAATTTTGTTGCAAATTTTAAATCAATAACTTCTGCTTAATCCCACCCACTTTTGCTTTAAGCACCACTCTTTGTGAGTACGGCTATGAAAACAGATAATTTAGTTGGTTGGTTGGTTGAACAGATACAGATATTGGTGTACTCGCTCATCCCTAATTACTGCACCCAACAGTACCTCAACGTTACCTCATATGATCAGCACTCAGCCAATCATACGAGTATTGCTCATGGTCTCTAGATGTTACCTTTTTTTCAACCTGAGTGTGGACTGTTATCCAAGATTAAACAGCTGCGTTCCAAGAACCAAGTTAGCTGGAAGAGAATTAACAGGATTAAACATGTTAATCTGGATTAGTATATATACAATAATGCTATCCTGTTAAACTCTTTGTTTTATTTACAAAGGAATGTAAAGAAGTCAATCATTAATCATTTAGACTTAGTTGTTAATCTTGTATTCATCTGTGTATTAAAAAACGGTCAATCAATTTGAGATTGATTGCATGCTCCAGTACTGTGCTTTTAATTCTGTTGGTGGGTGGAGCATTTTGTTTACATTTGGTAAGAAATTGTGTCTTTAAATGAATAAAGTGTTATGCCAGTCAGTGGTACAGTGCAGTCTTTACATTGAGCTGGTTGGTGGGTTTGTATTGGTCAGCCGATGAATAAATCGTCACCTGTCACTTCATGTGGATATTAGAACATGCACATTATGTATACGTTTTGTCATTGTGTTAGCTGGGCTACGAGCTGAAAACTTCACTGATGTTAATTAATGTTGAGTTGTGATAAAGGTTAAAGACTATCAGTATATCAGGATCATATCACTCGCCAAGGGTGCAGTGAAAAACATTGCTGTGCCTTTTAGCAGCCACAGAGCTTGAACCTGTGTCCGGTTTATGTCATTTTCATGAAAAGGTCTTTGTGCATGCACATCACCGCCACACAACCCCACCAGAAATTGGGGTTTTTGTCTCAGAGCTAGAAAGTAGAAAAAAGGCCTGATACAGCTACTGTATAAGTTTTATAAAAACTACCTATTGCAGCTTTAAGGAGGGGCTTTGTGTCAGAATGAGGGACAGAGCTTGAAAACTGCTGTCTAAATGCAAAAACAAACTGGCAGTTTGACAAACTAATATATACTAAAGGGCCAACTAACTAGTTTTTTACTAGAATGAACCTTCATGCTCATAAACAGTGCGTTTTGGGTGGAAAGTTGGGGATTTGGGGTTGTTATTGGGCACCCCAAGAAAACCAGGGAGTGTATAAGTGATGATCATTGTTAGTGTACAGGGACTGAAAACAGTCAAACTACGTCAGATGTACATAAATGTGCATGAACTGGTGGGATCCATTCATCTGTCTGTGTGTTCTCAGAGTGCCTGCAAAACATCCAGCTCAGCTCAACAGGTGAGAAGAGAGGGAGTCACACACACACACAAAGCTGAAGCAGGGAAGATGAATTGGATGACACAGTGAGAGACAGAGGGAGGGACTGAATTACCATAGAAACTGCTCAGACTGTTTAGAGAAGCAGCAGAAAAAGGTGAAAGCTGAAGTGGTCTAACTGTCAAGGTCAGCGGTCACCTAAATTGCTACTACACTGATCACTGCTTACCACCGATGTTTGCTGAACTTTTTAAATAACAAGGAAAAGCTGTGTTTTGAAGCTGCTGATATATCAAAGTAAAAGGATGTTTTTGTATTTCTTGTGATTATTCTGACGGGCGGCAGATAGAACAGGAGCCATATGGAGTAAAAGTCATTTGTGGCACAGGTAAGCTCTTTGTCTAACAGCAGATTGTAGTGATGCAGGTATTTATGAGTTTCCCTTTACACAAACACTAAACTCCTAATGCATTTCTCAAGACTTCAAAGTGCTTATTTTTGGCCCAGAGTGTGTGTAAAGCATTAACATGGTTGCTTTTTAAACCTCAATTCAATGATTTTTCCTGTAACTAACATTAAGAACATTAAAAACTTGGCAAGGAACATTTCTTAATGAGACTGAATATGAATTCAGAGGCAGGTGATATATCAGGCTGCTGTTTGTGTATCCTTGGTTTTCTCAGAAGCTATTAGCTGCTCCTGGAAAACAACCTCTTTCTATTTCCATCCAGTCCAGGATCTTTAACAAAACAGTAATTATGACATTGATTTAGTCAAAACTGGGTGTATGTATGTCCTTAAAAATCTTAAATTAAGTTTTACAAATATCAGGCCCAGAAATTAAGAATTTAAGACTTAATTTTAAAAATGAGATTTTATCTTTTTTGATATATTTCCTTTTGTTCACAAGAAGTGCATTTCTTCAGCAGCAGAAGGGTGTGATCACCTACAAAATCCAAGCTAATCTCACCCTAAACTCTATGCTGAACCTAATATACTTTCTGTTCTCAGGCATTAAACTGACCAACCTATCATACTGAACTGCAGAGAGAAAATCTGTCACTCATCTAACAATGATTGAGATAAATTATGTCTTATATACAGACTGCAGCAAAAGCAAACTAAGCAAAAATAATGTAAACTTTCTTTGAGGCAGCCATTGACTTCCATTTATTTCTATATAGTATAAAAAGAGTCTTGAAACATCCTTAGTTATATAAGCCATCAGAGTGAAATTTAATTCACCCAAACATGGGCAAGTAGTATTTGCACATTGTCACTAAATTTCTGCTGCTTGACTTCAGGGAGTAAGGATCATTTTGAATTTAACATTAGCCACAGAGCAGGTGCATATTTTGCAATCAGAACTGGCCTACTGTATTGTGGGCTACATGGTTATGCATTTTGAATGATGTATTCCTCATTCCTTCCATCCACTCATGAAAACTGGACTATATGTCATGCTTTCGCCATCCTACGAGGGAAAATTGCAGCTCACAATAGTGAATGATGTGCAATTGGATTTGAAAGTGGTTATACCCAATGCTGAGTTAAAAATATATACTCCTTTGTACAGTAGCATGTTTTCTTAAGCATCATGTACATGCCAAAACCCAATTACTCAGCTAGGTTTCTCCAGGAGAAAGCCCATGCATGTATAGATGTCATGTATAGATGTACAACAACAGAGCACTAAGGTGAAGGGAGAGATCGTTACACATAGTGATGTATGTTTGTGTTCATTGACATTCACGCTGTAATTGATGAAAAAAAAAAAAACTGTCAGATTTTTATATGTATAAAAATAAATGGAAACTAATGTGCTAGGAAGAAAAAATTTTACTTAAATTTGTAAATTGCTGCACAGGGTTATTATTAAAGGGGTTATTACACCACCATATGCAAATGATTGTCTGAATGGTTTACCACATTAATAGGAACTTATTTCATTAACCATTAACATTCGAATACACCACAAAGCTGGTCTAAAATGTCATACTTCTTGTTTTTAGCTCTGAGACAGAATCATTCAGCTTCAGCACACTGATGAGACTACTGCATGTAAGACTGCTGTAGGATCATGTTTAGGTTATAGGATGTAGACCTTTTACATGTTGTTGGTGTTGCACTGTTAATATGTCATGTTACTGGTTGACACATTACCCTTATTTACTTGAACTCTATAGGGAAGTGGTATAACTCGCAGATGGCTCACACAGTTGCACCTGCCTGTGTGCTGATCAAAATATGCAAGAGTAATAGCTGATGGAGAGGTTTTCACCTGCACTGTAAAATCTGACAACACATCTTAATAATAGAAGTAAGTTAACATAACTTAATCCTCCAAAAAATTGGAGTCACTCATTAACATGAATTAAACTAAATTAAAGCAATTTACTTGTTTTGAGTGCACTTACATTTGTTCAGTATTTTAAGTACAGGCTATATATTCCAGTTTGTTCCACTGACTCATTTTCTCTAAGGACTTAATATAATATTAAAAATGTAAGTTCCTCCCATCAAGTTTTATAGAATGAGAGCCAAATAAATTTTAAGTTAAAAAGTATAGATCTGAATAGATTTTTAATCTGTATGTGACATAATAATAGATTCAGTTTTATGATTGTGAAGACAGCATGAGAAGTTACAGTCAGACTATATAAGCAAGACCAATGTACCAATAAGGGGTGCATGGAGACACCTACGGTAAGTGTGGTTACTTATTGCTGAGTTAATGGGGTGAGAAGAAGAACTGAATCAGCAGCATACCCTTGTACACAGGAAGGCAAACAAGCACTAAGAATCAGCAGCATACAACAGGAGGTCAAACAGATTGTGCAAAGGCCCCAGTCAACAGTCAGAGAGGAGGGGGAGATGGGGTGGTGGCCAGCATTACCTCTTTCCATTCCTCCCCCTCAATATGGGCCAAAAAAACAAATGTTCGAGAGCAGAAAGGCTATACATAAGGTGACCAGGTGCTTTGTCCCATGCCCACATATTGAGACAATGCCATGTGATTGGCTCTAGTTTTCAAAAGTCAAATCATTGCAGGACAGACACGGTTCTAAAATCTGTTTTTTTTTTATCCAGTGGTTGTCAGGGTGCCATGGGGAGGTTTGGCTCCTCTTATTAAGACATGAGCTCACCTGAAAACATGATTTTTTTTATTTTGGGGGGTCTATAAAATATGTTATTTTCTGCCATGTATTTCTAGTTTTCTGCATCTTCATCATAGTTCATGTGGAAAATTAGGCTACTATTGATGTATGATTCATACAAGAGGGGGATTTATTAGTGATCATTAATTCACTTTTATAAAAATACCGCATGCCATTCTTGCCATTACCAAGTGTGGCAGGCAGTACAATATCATAAACTTCACTCATTTTAACTCAAAGGGCTAGGTACGTTAGGTTTGATATTTGACCCCTGATTATTAAATACCAGATGTGCTGACATAAAGCAAGTAGGCCGTTGTACCCATGAATGTAGAAGAGCCACAGTCAGTCCTTTCCTTGAACAAGCGCACACACCCCTGGATAAAAAAGTGAGCTCCCCCAAAAGCCTCTTGGTATAGTTCACACACTGATGGCTATGAAAAAATTAGGGACAGCAAAATCTAGCTAAAACACTGGGGAACAACTTATGTTGCCATGAAGCTGGTGGAAGGCAACTGTCGCTAGGTTATCGCATAAAACTGGCTTCAGATCTTTAGCTTCATTTTATGGTTACTGTATTTACTTAGTGTGGGAGTTGGGAAAGTTGTATTCACATGCTAAAGGCCTGGCCTGCAGCCTGACCAACTTAGTCTATTGTGTGCTACTAAAGCAGCCCAAGAGATGTTACAAGCTAAGGGGCAGCATAGAAAGGTCTATTTTTGTTAGGTTAAACGACCTAAACATTTCTAGAATAGCTCTCAGCATTGGTAACATACACAAACATACTAGGTCCCACATTTGATTTGATTTTAGGTATGTTTTCATTTGTGTATAATCACCTGAAAATAAGAATTGTTTTTTGGTACCTAGAATGAACCGTTTTTATCTACAGAAGGAGTGTGTGCTCGTGTACGTCCACCATGTTGAACCACCTCTTTCTACAGTAGCCCAGAACAAACAAACCAAGCACTGGCTCTAGATCCAGGAAAATACTACTGATTTTACTGTTAAGCTGAGATATAGTCTATCAGATGAAGTAATATCCTAAATGACCACAGATTGATGACGATGAATTTGTCTCTTTCTCGATAGGTGAACACCTGAAGTCATCTGAAAATCTACTGCACAGAAGCATACAAATTTAACATTGAATGGTAGGGAGACCAAGGATGACAGAGAAGAAGCTTGACAGAATCCCAAACGTACAAGCCACAGCCTTGTTCAATTTCTCCCTCACATGAAATTCACTTAATCCTTCACAATGTCATCCAGAGGTGGAGTTCCTCCCAACATCAGTGCCTCAGTACTCCAAGACTTCCTCCCCTCTTTTTCGCCTTCTCCCTCAACCACCCCTCCATCTCCATCTTGCAGCATAGACGAGTCCTACAAGTACATCTTCCTCCCCATCTGTTACTCTTTCACGTTCATCTTCAGCATTTCCCTGAACTCCGTCATCCTCTACCGTTCCTTCCGCCGCACCAAGCGCTGGAATGCCTCGCTGATCTACATGGTCAACCTGGCCTCTACAGACTTCATGTACGGCCTGTCACTGCCATTCCTTGTGGCGAGTTACATTATGCGTGATCGCTGGGTCTTCGGGGACTTCATGTGCCGCCTGGTCCGTTTTCTCTTCTATTTTAACCTCTACTGCTCCATCTTCTTCCTCACTTGTATCTCTGTCCACAGATACCTCGGTATCTGCCACCCAATGAAGGTCATCACACTGGAGACCAAGAAGGCTGTCAAGTGCACTTGTGTCGTGGTTTGGATTGTAGTGTTTGCTCTGACCTGCCCCATTTTCCGGTTTGCTCAGACTGGTCACGTGACAAGATTGGCAGGGCTTGGCGGCAATGCAAGCAGTATTGACAATCCAAGCCATGAGATATCATTGATAAATGGTAATGCCAGCTATAGTAACTTGGAAGGGGTCATTGAGGAGTACCAGAACTGTTGGGACGATGCCATAGATAAGGAGTTTCCTGATTACATACCCTATGGCATCATACTCCATCTGCTGGGCTTTTTTGTGCCTTTTTCCATTATTGCTTGGTGTTACTCTCACGTTGTTCTAACCATATTTAGGACTCTGCATTCACAGCCCTCATCCCGGAGAGTTCAGAGAGAGGGAGGGCGTGAAGGAATAGAGAGAAGTAGTCCTGGAATAGTTGGAAGAGGAAGAGGAGGAAGAAGAGGAAGAAGAGGAAGCAATGGAATATTGAGGGCACTGGGAAGAGATGAAGGGACTTCCATTTTCCTTGGCGCCCACTCACCTTATGCCAATCGCAGACGTAAGTCTATCAAGACCATCATCACCATCACCCTTCTCTTTGCCCTGTGTTTCTTTCCCTTCCATGTTACTAGAACCATCTTTCTCCTGCTGAAAGTGACCAAGGGAGTCCCCTGTCACACCATGACCATGGTCTCCATGTGTTATAAGATCACAAGGCCTTTAGCGTCATTCAATGCATGGCTCAACGCTCTCCTTTATTTCCTGACTAAAGACAAAGGGGGAGCTCACTGCTGCCAGCCGGTAAACACCACCACCCAACAACACAGTGGGTTTCTATTGCCACTGAGGATGATGGGAAAAGGAGAGGATGCAGAGGAGGGAGGGTTGGAAGACGGAATTGACAATAAGGAGAGAGTATTTCACAACAGTCCGTCATATATGAACAGAGCAAAAGTTAGATATATAGTTGAATGAATGTTTTCATGAGGAATGAGAGAATGAATTTTAGATGCAGTGTAGCTTGTCTTTTACTGGAAAACAAAATATTATATAATGAGCACTGTAGGAAAAGTAATGATTAAAGAAGACCCACCAAGAATCTTAATATGACTTTTATTTCTAATTGTATGTACCTATTTCTGGTCTGCTACAAGTTATACTTTGAAAGTTACCTAGAGAATAAATGCAATATGAATATATGTGTGACACCACATTATTGTGATAATCTGTTATTTTGTTTCACAGGGTGTGTATTTTTAATGTCTGACGAGATACACTGGAATCACTGATTTCCTTTTATGTCTGGGGTATGCTTGGAACAAGGTCATCCAACCACATCTTAAGGAAAAAGTGTTTTACCTGTTCTGAACAGCTGTACTTGCCTGTACTTGCCTGTGGTCACAAAGAAGGGTGAGACCATCGACATATAGGCTAAAAGATAGACATCACGTCTCAGCTTCCTCCCACTGTACAAAAATG